AGTAACACAGCTTCACAGAGTTAAACTAATACAACATAAACAAAAGTAACACACCTTAAAATAGTATTCCACAACAGCCTTCCAAAGCCTTCTGCAGACAGAGGAACAGCTTCTTCTTTAATTCACCCAAAGGGATGAATTTTAGCCTCCTTTAAAACAGTAGTTGACTGTAAAATGTTCCTTGGTGTGTACCCTTCCTTCTATTTGGTAAGAAAATAGAAAATATATGTAGGAGACAATCTAGAATTCCATCTTTGTTTCTTCATTTAAACAACAATAACAGAACAAAAGTGATACAGAAGCGATGAAGAACGGATTCCCCTTTGTGAGAGAAAGCAATACAAGACTGAAAAGGACATTTGTTAGAGAGCAGGGCCCATGACAGAGCACTGAGAACCGAACCTGGAAAAGACCGTCTTAATTCCAAAGGTCTCCCTAATGTTTGTCGGACTTTCAGAATACCCAGAATCCATGTTTCTCCCCTCAGCCATGCTTCCATTCTTTCATAACGCCTAAAGCCTCAATTTCAATCCTGGTGACATTCAGGAGAGGTACAAACCACACAGAGACTGAGCACCGCCTGCCACAGTGTAGGCCACTGCAAAGAAGGCGGGATAGCCACAGGAGACCTCACAGAGAAAAAGGAGACGAACTGTGTTTTCCAGGACATCCGGCTATGAGGAGGTGCCATCCAATCCAAAGGCAACCCGGTGAGGAGCGACACCCAAGAAGCACGGGAGCGCATAATTGGTGCAAAAGAACAAGACAAAGCTGGCAGATGAGAATGTTCAAGGAAATCCATCTTTTGGCATACTGCTCCAAAACACTAGGTATGTTGCTTCTGAAGGAAAAAAAAAAAATGCCATGATCAGTGGTTAAAACGTAAGCACATGCCTTTAATCCCAGAACTCAGGTAAGACAAGGAGGACCAGTTGATCTAGGGGCCAGCCTGGGTCAAGTGATAAGACCCTATGCAGGAGAATCAGAAAGTCTTGCTGGGTAGAACGGACCTATGAGAGGCAGGTAGAAGAGGGTAAGGGTGCCATATCAAACAAGGGCCTTACCCAATGTTGGGCTCTCAATAATCAGGGTATGAGCAAGGACTTGAATCTGTGGATTCTGAAGGAAACACAGAAAAAAGAAAGAAAAGCGTAGTGATATTTGTAATCTAAGAAATAAAGCTTGCCTGAAGATCAGAGGACAGAGCCAGCCACAGAGTTAAACACAGAGGTCAGACAGTGGTGGCACACACCTTTAATCCTGGCACTCGGGAGGCAAAGATCCCTCTGGATCTCTGTGAGTTCAAGGCCACACTGGGCTACATGAGATTGATCCAATCTGGAAGAGAAACAGAGCCAGGCAGTGGTGGCACACACCTTTAACCTCAGTATTTGGGAAGCACACATGCCATTAATCCCCAGCACTAGGAAGGTTGAGATGGGAAGTGATATGGCTGGGTGGGAGAAAAAGGCATATAAGGCGTGAGGAGACAGGAACTCAGCCCTTTTGGCTAAGGACTCAGAGGCATTCAGTCAAAGGATTCACGGAGTTGGCAAGGTGAGAAGTAGCTGTGGCTTGCTCCTTTGTCTCTCTCGTCTATCAGCATTTACCCCAATATCTGGCTCCTGGTTTTTATTATAAGACCATTCAGGATTCGTGCGACAGAAAAAACAGGAAAGTGAGACTAGAAGGGAAAGAAAGTGGGACAGGGTGTACTCCACAGCACTTTCCCCATTGCAGACCTCTGTAGCTGAATTCCTCAAGAGGGGCTCTGGAAAACAGCGTAGAGCACATATCAGCACCCTCCCACTGGAGGAGGGTCACGATGGTCAGGTATATATCCACTAACCCTTGCCCGTGATGGCTGGACCTCCTCCTGCTGAGGCATTAATTCCCAGAGGTGTTCTGCTAGGAGCCAGAAGACCTTGGATGAAGAGCTCCGGGTGGCTGCAGTGATAAGCAGTCCGAGTATTCAGACACAGTGAATTTCAATGAGGAACAGAGGCAGGATATGGATAGTTCCTGCAACAGTTTCGTTGACAAAGATCGGGACTCCCGGGTTCTAGTCTAAGTACAATAGGATGCACTGAAGTGTTCTGGGCATTTGCAGCTGACCATAAGATGGCCATTCTTGCTGCCGTGTGGAGAATGGTGGGAAGGAGGCTAGCAGCCCAGAGTGGGGGGGGGGCATTCATCCCAAAGCCCTGTGTAGTTTAAAGCTAAGCAGTTGTCTACACTTGTCTCAGAGAAGCTAACCCTCAGCATCTCAGAGACACCACAGCTTTTAGCCACCTGCCCCAGGGCTTCTCTCCTTGCTCTCCCAGGGGCAATTAATCTGATCTGTGACCATTTTGACCTGGCTTCCAGGAAGACACCTGGCCCAGGCTTCTCCTTGACTAAGTAATATCATAACTTGCATTTATATGAAGATGAGGGGCCATCTTGTCATGTAGAGACATTCTGTATTCACTGGCAAATAGGAGGCTTGGAGAACTATGCCTTGAAAAGTAACATGGAGCCAGTCAGCCCATTCAAATCTTGGCCTTCCACTGACTTCCCATGTGACCTGTGACAAACTACTGGAGGTTGCCAAGGCTGTAAAATGGAGATGAAATTCCTTTCACCAAGAGTTTAGGACAATAACTGAGATATTTAAAAGTACCTGGCACATAATGCATGCCAACAAATAGGCACATTTTGAGACTGTTGATATTTATGTACAATAAACATTCAAGTTTGTCCTTACCACAGAGTATCCCTGACAAAAGAAAGATGTCAACATGAAATAGAGTTAAAAAACACCCACACATGCATTCCTCCACTTTGTTTATTCTGATGATCTGCCTGGTTTAGAGAAATTCAAGCCATGGTTTTCTCCCATTATCCTGGAGAAAGGAAAAAAAAAAGCTGGCTGAATGTGATGTTCCCTGAACATCTAAGAAATCATTTGCCTTATTGTTTGGGCACTTAAGACTGTCAGAGAACGCCAAGCAAAATCTAAGGAATACTAAGAAATGCCTGATATGCCAAAGCCCAAATCAAAGAGGAATGTTTCAGATTTATTTAAAGACATTGTATGGAGAAAATAGTGTTTTTCCTGGAAATACAAGTGCTATGATGAGCAAACATGATGTCAAGGAAAAGGTGCCACTTTCTTCTGTCCACTGATGTGAAGAGCATGATGGACAGCAATTCAAAGCTAGTGGTTTGTAAGTCATGAGCTCCTCACCAAAAAGACAGAAGCTATTTGGAGTTTGCTGTTTGGTTTTTGTTTTGTTTGTTTGTTTATTTGTTTTTTACTTACACCCTTTCCTTGGTGACTACAATTATTTAAAATGGGCCAAAGTCGGGGCCTGGAGAGATGATATTAATTTTAAAAAAACATAATGAGACAAACTCCACAATCCTTATTTAAACAAAAATAGAATAATAAAATACTGACCCACATACATGTGGTCTTTTTAACAGGTCTATATTGGGAAAATAATCAATCCATGGTGCCCCTTGTCCCTCCTTGATTACCAACCCTTGTGATTACCAATCTTGAGAGTGTAGAGAGTCACTTCTGTCAGAGAATAGTTTAAAGAGCACCAAACTCAGAGTCAGGAGGCTGCATCTCTGACCCTTCACTTTGTGTCAGTAAACAATGCTGTTGAGTTATACCCAGAAGCCTTTAGTCCTAACTATTCTATTCTTCTTAATACACTGAAAATTGATCCAGTGTTTTCCACTGAAAAGGGAAAGATGGGATATAAGGGCTAATAGATCGAGAATCACCCATGAACCAAGGAGACACCTATGAGGAGTTTTTCTTAATTGGAATAATTAAAGTAGGGGAAAAAAAGAGGTGTGAGGGGAACATTTTTGCTTTTTACCAGGTTGCCTTTACATCTCGCTGGCAAATTCATCTACCATATTTGCCTTTTGCTGGCACTGCTGCTGCTGTGGTCACTGCCATCCTTCACTGACATCAAAATCTAGCTTCTTTGACCTTCCAACATGGACTAAATACAAGTGACTCTCCAGGAATCCCCCAGGCCTTCAGGTCCAGATCAGGTGTGCTGAGAATCCAGCCATGTGGGCATCTAGCCATGTGGACATCCAGTAGTTTTGAGTCTGTCCAGTGTGAAGACAGCCATTGCTGGACCATATTGTATAAACCAACTTAATAAATCCCCTTTTGATGTGTATTTGTTTTTATCAATTCTGTTCCTCTAGAGAAACGTAGCACAAAGAGTGGGAATGTAGAGTAGGAAATTGTAATGATTCTCACTCAGCTCTCCAAAGTCAGTGAAGTTACATGATACAAAGGAAGAATTAGTCATGGAGTAAAACTCCTACCCCTACCTCTATTTGAAAAAATGAAGATCAAAGTTTATCTCTACTTTCTAAAATATCCAAACTTTCTACCACATATTCACCTTCCAGAGCAGTTCCCATATCATTTCAATAGCATCAACAACACTGTAACATCTTTATGAATAGCAGGTAAATTTAGCCTCTCCCATAGCTCTCACGTCGGTGCTCAATGCCTCCCTTTGTGCATTCCTTCCGAGTGTTCTGTCGCTGCACAGTCCAGCATTGCCGTTCTTCATGTTCCGAGTCGGCCACTTCTTCTATTAGCTCCATAGACTCCTATAGCATTTTCTTTGTGTGGTATGTATGTATATGAGGGTTTTTTGGCTTTTGGTTTTGGTTTTTTGAAACATGGTCTCTTGCTGGTGTGGGACTCACAACGTAGGCTAGGCTGACTGGTCATCAAGTCCCAGGGATCTTCCCTTATTGGCCTCCCTGGTGGTAAGTTTATAACCACATCCTACTAAGGCCAGCTTTTATTACTTAGGTTTGGGGGGGTCAAACTCAAGTCCTTATGCTTGCAAAACAAGTATTTTACAAGCCAAACTGTCTCCCCAGGCCTGTTACTGCATTTTCATATGTACTTTCTTCAAGTTTATTTCCTTTCCTCCCTCTCCTCCTCATTGACCACCCATGACTACTCCCTCTTGTTGTTCTTTGAGGACTCAGAAGGTTTTCTGTTTGCTGCTGGTGATGAGTATATATGTGTGTTGTGTGCCTGTGTTGTATAGTGTGTATAGTTATATGTGGAGGCCCACAAAGGCTTCCTAGTGAGATCTGAGCTTGCTTTACCCAGTAGGACTGCATTAGAGGATTACTTGACCATGTGCTTGGTTACCAGATGATTGGAAGGGTCTACACTTGGCTGAGCTAGGGGGAGGTCTTTGCTCCACCCATTGACATTCCTATAAATAGCCCTTTAGAAGAGACAGAAGGGGCTGGTGGATAATGATCCAGGCCCCCCTGAGGCTATCCTATGTTCCTATTTGTTTCTCTCCCCTCTATCCTTCTATCTAAATATTTCTCACTTCACCCTCCTCAAGAGTACCCTGGGGGGAAAAGTGGGAGCAGGTCGCCCATAGATGGTGCCAGGAACAGGGACCAGAGACCTGGCAAAAGGAAGGTTGAGGGAAGGAAGTTTGGACATGTCCAATTATGTTGTAAAATTAAGGCGGGGTTATTCTATTTTCGGGAGTGAAAATAAAGTGACTAAAAGATGCCCAAGTGAAAAGTGAGGCTGCGGCAAATATATCTCTATATATATTTAGGTTTTTCTCTCTCTCTCTCTCTCTTAATTTCTATCTATAAAAATTAAAGAAAAAATATAAAGTAGAATATAGGAATATAGTATAGAAAAAACTTAGGGTAAAAATGAAAAAAATGTAAGCTAGAATATAGGAATATAGTGTCAGAAAAACTTAGGATAAGCAACAAGACAGAGGAACTATGGGACTATGAATACCAACTCCTGTGAGGAATCAGAGTCATGAAAAAATACTATGAGAAAAACAGGCAGAAAAAGATTTCTGTGGAAGCTTTTGGCTTAGATCTGAGTCCTGAGAGGCAGGGAAAGAATTTTCCCTGAGGTGGATTCAGATGAAATAAAACACTTCACTTCGATGACATTGCTACTGTATGAAAACATCGTACCATCAGAATTAGTTTCCTCTTGGCCATGAAGCCAAAGTTTAGGAAACAGACGTCTTGGGAAAAACTTAATTTTTCTTCTCAAAAACTGAAAGCTTTCTTGGGACTTAGTAATCTCTCTCTCTCTCTCTCTCTCTCTCTCTCTCTCTCTCTCTCTCTCTAAAAAAAAAAGAAAACTTTTCAGTTTTTCCTGCTCAGATTTCTTTCTGTAAGGGCAAAAAATTTAACTCACCTGGAAATAACATATATCTGTATGGGAAAAATCACCTGTAATTGCTCTATAAAAAACAAAAAACCTCTTGGAACAGGGCAAATCCTCTCTGCTAGCCCTATCTCCCCTTCAAGCTGGTATTCGAAAAATAACAGATGCTTTAGGCCCTAGCCAGAATCCCCTGCAGGAGAGATGTCCAGGAAAGCACAGGCAGAGAGTCGAGCAGGAACAATATCCCCCCAAGGGTGGAACAGCAGCTGAGGAGAAGCTACTGGTGTGAAGGCAGCAATGGGGGCTTTGAAATCCTCCCTGTACTGAGGGAGGCAAGGTCTGAGTTCTACCAGTAGTGACAGCATGAGAAAAGCTGAGACAAAATTTGGCCGTACAAACAAGGCCGGCAAGAACAGAGAGAGTTGCCTGCCCAACTGTGACTGCCAGCCCCGAGTTGGTAGGTGGGGCTATGCAGCGCCCATGGCTGTGAAAAAAGCTCTTTCTTTTTTCTCAGGGGGGGGGGGGGATCTTTCTAAAAAAAAACTCTTTTTTCAAGTATTCTTATTCCTTTTCACTGACTAGTGAGGTGAGGAGCAAAGCACCCAAGGGTTTTCGCTTCTGGCAACAAATGCCTGTCTGAGTGCACACGGAGAGATATGACCCATTCAGGGAACAGTGTCAGGTAAAAGATCTGATTAGAGAGGTACACCTGTCAAACCATAGTGCAGGCATCCTAATGCAAGCTAAGGAAGACAAAAATCTCCCATGATAAAAGCAAACACTTGACTTTGGCTTCAGCACAAGTACAGACCATGTGAATGGGAGTTTTCTCCAAGATCCCAGAAAGGTAGCACTGGAAATGTAGTTCATTCATAATAGTATGACAATATAGAGAAAGGCAACTTAGAAAATGTAGGCCATAATGTAGTTTGTAATAGCTCGATGCTATAGAGAAAGGCCAAAGCAAGGTGGTATAGGCAAGCAGGCCCAGAAGAAAATGTAGACAGGCTGAGACAAAAGCTTTCTTTCCTCATAGCAGAGTAGCAAGATGCCCAAGGTGAATATCGAGCAAATACATGTTTTAACTCATTTTAAAAAGCTTAAGGAGTTAAAAACATGACTTTTTCCACAAGTCTTATTAGCCTTACCTCCTGAAAATGAGAAACAGGTGATGCCTGTCAAGAGGCAATTAAGATGCTAATGATGCTTCTCAAGTCACTTTGAAACCCTTAAGAAAACAAGGGAAAGCAGTCCATACACTGGGAAATTGCTTTAAGTATGGAAAATACTTAGAGGCAAATTAAAAATAAGAAACTTGGGTTGTGCTTGATATCAAAGCTGACTATAAACTTCAAAAATGATTTACATACTTCCTGTCTAGTTGAAAGAAAACATAATAGTTATTTTAAGAATCGCTACTAGATATGTGCTAAAGTTTGTAAAATAGTTCTATAGAGTTTAATTTGAATAAGCTTTTGAAAAAAAATTTGAATAAGTTTGGTAAATAGTTCTTGTAAGAAATCTCTTCTAAACATGTTCTAAAGTTTGTAAAATAGTCTAGTTTCCTTTTGAATATAAGTTTGTAAAAAGTGTAAATGTTGAATGTAAGTTTGTAAAAAGTAAATGTTAAATATAAGTTTGTAAAAAGTGTAAATATGTATAGTCATCTTCATACTAGAATTTTTATTACTCCATCAATATCTGTCTAGACAAATTAGGTAGCATTAATTTTTAAAGAAATATGTTTTATCTTCAGATATATTTGAACACTTTTCATGATAGCCCAAAAATATAATTTTATGATCTCAGTGGCCCCTGGAAAACCTAAGTGAAGGCATCATAATTGGGGGAGCTTTTCTGTCTTCTTCCTACAAGTTTCTACTCTTTCAGTTTCTGTTTAGAAAAGGGTAGGCCTCCCACAAAGGTGTAAGCCTCCCACAATCGAATTAGTTTGTAAATGTGTTTTTATAATTAGCATGGGTTTTTGTTTACTTGAGTGGATACTTTGAAGTGATTTGAAATGACTGCTTTCTCCTGGGAATAAAAATAGTCTCTTGAAAATTTTATTGAGCATCTGTTAGGAGAAAGCTTTGATCCAAGAAAAGGGCTTGAGGTAGCTAAGACTACTGTAGTCTCTTTAGACACATTTCAAAAAGGATATTCCATCTTTATTATACTCTACTCCTTTACTGGGAGGTGTGGCAGCTTTGGAGATCACTGTGGATGTTTGCAAGCTCTTGATAGGGACCTGGGACAGAGCTGAGTTAAGCTCTGTATTCCCTCCCGCCAGAGGCTGGTAGCTAAAGATGGGCAACTTTCTTGATAGCTTCCAACCTAAACCAGAGTATGCTTGATGGAAAGTATAACTCCCTGACGGATAAGGAAGATCAATCAAGAAGGATAACCTAAGACAGGCACAATCTATCTGAGGAACCTGGGGGCTCTTTATTATATCTATAAGGAGGAATTGTGGAGGCCCAAAAAGGTTTCTTAGTAAGATCTGAGCTTGCTTTACCCAGCAGGGCTGCATTAGAGGATTGCTTGACCATGTGCATGGTTACTAGGTGATTGGAAAGGGTCTACACTTGGCTGAGCTGGGGGGAGGAGGGTCTTTGCTCCACCCCTTTGGCATCCCTATAAATAGCTCTTCAGAAGAGAAGGAGGCAGTGAATAAGGATCCAGGCCCTCCTGAGGCTATCCTATGTTTTTATCTGTTTCTCTCCCCTCTATCCTTCTATCTAAATATTTCTCACTTCACCCTCCTCAAGAGTACCCTGGGGGGAAAAAGTGGGAGCTGGTCTCCCACAGTTATATACCTGTCAGTATGGGTGTGTGTAGCATGCTGATGCTTCTTTCTCAGAATAAGTGGCTATGACTGTTGTCATCCTCATTT